CCTTCTGGCGAGAAGTAAGGTTACAGGGAACCAGGCAGAGGGCCTTCTCGGTAGTGGCGCCTGCCCTGTGGAACGCCCTCCCACCAGATGTCAAAGCAATAAACAACTATTTTACTTTTAAAAGTCATCTGAAGGCAGCCCTCTTTAGGGAAGTGTCAGGGGCTCAGGAGCAGAGGGACAGGAGAGGGAGGAATTAGAGGACCGAGGGGAGAATCCGAGGAGAGTTAGCGGATGATAACGCCCGAGGTCCTAAGTCTCTCCAGCGAATCGGAGGATTCACAGAAAGGGCTCCCGTGTCAGAGCTAGGGGGTGCCAGAGGGAACACCCCAGAAGGAGGGCCAGAGGGGACTCAGAGAGAGCAGTGGAAACGCGCGACCCAGGCTTCCCCCAACCGGAGAGCAGTCAGGGGGGAGGAGTCCCAGCATCGGCATCAGGCAGCTTTCCGTCAGCGGAAGGACATGAGTCAGGGTTAGCCACGCCTGCATCAGAAGAGTGAGGAAACCGGTCAAAGGAAGGTCGGAGGCAGCGCGCCCGCGCGCCAAGTTCAAATGTACAAGAGGGTGGCGCAATGAGCAGCCCGGATAGGGAGCCAGGTCCTAAAGCCCGCCGAAGGGAGGCGAAGAGTCCGAGGGGTCCGCTTCCGAAGCGTCCAGGAAGGAAGGGACCCCGGGGGGTGGTAGGACCCAGAGGCGTAAGGAGAGACGGAAAAGGTGGAGTAAGGCTAGAGTCTAAGCTGGTGTACAGGGGCGGAGATTCAGACGGAGCTTCGTCGGTCTAGGCTCTAGACGTAGAGATGCACGCTAGGGGTTTGAACATGGAAACTATGCTTCAATAAAGACTTTTGTACAGTTCAACTGGCTAGCGTTGGTCCTCTGTGAGCTGGACCTGGAGGCAGTCTCTGACAGGAAGTTTTAATGTTTGATGCTGTACTGTTTTTAATATTCAGTTGGAAGCTGCCCAGAGTGGCTGGGGAAACCCAGCCAGACGAGCGGCGGTATAAATAATAAATTATTATTATTATATTATTATTATTTATTATTATTATTATTATTATTACAGCAAGGCGGAGGAGGGATGGGCAAGCAGCAAGTGAGAGCTGTGCAAAGCAGGAGATAAGCCATGTAAAGCGGCTCTGCCTTTGCTTGCTTTAAAAGCAAGAAAAGCGAGAGCCGCTTACACGCTCTGAATATATTTTTTCTTGCTTTCCCCCTCTTTAAAACTAGGTGTGTCCTTATGGGAGTGCAAAAATACGGTATTCTATTGCAGAGGGTTGGGTAAATGATTCTTTGGGCCCTTCCAACTCTGAAAGTTCTGCGACTGCTGGCTGTTTCCCATTCATTTGGGTCAGGCAGGCACAGCCGTGGTTGGCCAGCCTTGGGTGAGTACCACTTGGCTGGGGGGGGCGGGGGTCCTTGCTGACCTTGCCAAACTCCGCCTCCAGCTGCCGAATCTTCAGCAGGAATTTCAAGGTGCTCCAGGCGGCCGTTGGATTTGGTGACCAGTATGTGGACTTTCTCTTCCACCAGGTTGTAGAGGGTCAGAGCCCGGTCGATGCTGCACCTAGCGAAGAGATGGGCACGTCTAGGGAAGGTGCTTTTTTTTATTAAAAAAAGGTGCGATTTGTACAAAAGCGCTGAAGAATTTCAACAAGAACTGGGTTAATTGGTGAGGAAATTCCAAGAAAGATGTAAATTTGTTGATGTATGCCACAACGGCCACAAGAATACTTCCAGATATGGAAGCAGCAGGAACTTCCTACACTGGAAGATTGGCAGATAAAGATGGTTGAATATGTGGAGTTGCAAAGCTGACGGGGAAGATCCGGAATCGGCGTGACGAGCCGTTTTATATTTTACATGAAAGAAAACTGTAAACATATGAAAACGTTTGTAGGTCTGAGCTGAAATGTTTGGTAATGTGAAAATAAGGAGCTGATTTACGTATAAGGAAGTGAATGTTAAAAGATAGATATAAGGTAAAAAAGTGGCTATAGAAATGCGAAGAATTGGTAAAGATGTTTGGAAGTCAGAAAGAGGGAGGGAAGGAGGTCGATGCTCCGTCTGAGCAATGTTTTAGGTCATGGATTTATGTAATGAAAATGTAATGAAATATGGAAAACTTCAATAAAAAATATGATTTTTTAAAAAAATTCAACAAGAACTTTTAAATAAAGGAAATGTGGAGAAATTGAATTTGAAATTGGAAAACTGTGGAAGCGAAAGGAACTGCAGTAACCCGAATCGGGTTGCAAGGAGGTGACTTTTCTCCCCAGACCCAGAGATGGCCTTGAGGAAGCCAGAGCTCCCTCCTTGCTTTCATACCGGACGTTGGGGGAGAAGCTGAGCCGGGCTGCCTCCTTCCTCAGTTTCGCCAGCGTGGCCCCACCTTCCCTCTGCAAGCTCACCAGCTGCACATTGCGCAAGACCTTCTGCATCAGCAGCTGGTGCCTCTCCATGTGCTGCTCAACCTCCTGCGGAACAATGACCCACATTAGCCACATCCAGGTCGGTCAATGGCCATTAGCCCTGAAAGCTCAATAAAACCTCCATGGGCAGAGGCAGGCTACCTTGGAATACTAGCTGCTGGAGACAAACTGGGGCTGGGGAGAAGCTGTCTTTGTAAATTTCCCAGAAGCTTTTGGTTTACTGCTGTTGAGAACAAAATGGAAATGAACCGCGGGGGGCCCTTCGCCAACCTGGTGCCCTCAGGAATGCAACTCCCATCAGCCCCTGCCAGGCTGCACCAGGCTGGCGATTCTTGAACTAGGCAGAGCACTTCTTAGATTATTCTGAATGAAATAAAACGGCATTGATGGAATTATCATAGCTGTCAACTTACAGATTTGAAAATAAGGGACCAGCAGCCTTGAAAATAAGGGATCAGCAGCCAAAATAAGGGATTTTCCAAGCACAGGTATGTTCAGCTTCTGAGCCCCTCCGAGCCAAAGGCAGAAAGCCCAGCCAGCAGCCAAACGAAGCCTCAAGCGGTGGTTCCCACAGCGCAGCAACCCGGCAAAGGGGATGCAGCAAGGAAAAACCACCGTCCCCTCTCCGCTGGGAAGCGCTGAGCAAAGGGGAGTCGCCAGGCAAGGCGGCCGATTTGATCGGCACAAGGCATGCAAGCTCCACCCCGCAGTCATTCTTAGACTCCTTATTGGGTGAGCAACGCAGCCAAGCAACACAGTTGGAGCCTCCCTCCTCTCTGGCTGGCAAGGAGGGAGGGAGAGGAGCTGCTTCCTTTGAAACCCGGGAAATTTAAGGGACATCATCAATAAGGGACAGCAGCGGGACACAGCGCTGGGATAAGGGAGTTTCCCACCAAATAAGGGACGGTTGACAGCTATGCACCATTGGCTCTCCCTATTGTGCTAGTAAAGGGGTCAGCGCTAATGCTATGGGAATTTCTCCCTTTCCCCTCCCCCCTGCACTGTCCCCCAAACTCTACTCTGGAGCAGATTTCGGAAGCACTCAGCAGGGAGGGGAAACGATCCGTTGTGCAAGGAAAAATCATTGAGCCGCATTTCTTGAGGTCCTAACATGTGTAAAAAATCAAGCCCAGTGAGGTCCTGGGGGGGGGGCACAGGGGGAGGAGGTGTTACCTGCAGGGTCTCCAGTCTGCCCCCCTTTTCCAGTTCTTGGGTGGTGTTCTGCAGCAATTCGGAGGCCTTTTTGAGGTCGCTCACAAACTGGTGCATCTTCTAGGGGGAGGAAGCACAGGCAGGCAGCCGGTCAGATAAAATAACCCCAAATAACAAGTTGTGACACGTGGTTAGGAGAGGGCTAGAAGCAGGAAACTGAGGCAGGGAGATAGAGGAGGGTGGGATCAGAGAGGCCAAAGCTGCCTACATATGTGATATGCACCCGCAGCAAAGAACAAGATGGTGCCCATCGCCTCAGAAGCTGAGCGGACTGACAGTCGACTCTGATGATGCAGCAGAGGCCTGCAGGCTGGAGGATGGGTTATTCCCCCCCCCAATTAATTTTTTAATTAAATTTTAGTAATACAGAAAAATAAATGCACCCTACAAAGACATACAAAAAGCAGGCTACTATTTATATACCCATACACATAAATACTTCCCATCCCCATATCTTCCCAGCACCACACCCTTTGACACCCCCACAACAGCTCAACCCCCTTATCTTATAGAAATGTTGATCTTCCATTTTTCCATACAGTCATACCTCGAGTTAAATGTGCTTCCGGTTGAGCGTTTTCAGTTTACGCTCCATGATGACCCAGAAGTAACGGAGCGTGTTACTTCTGGGTTTCACGGGCTGCATTTGCTTCAGGATGCGAACGAGGCTCTGGAACGGATCCCGTTCGCATCCTGAGGTACCACTGTATTTCCAACATAAATTAGACTTCTGTTTATAAATTTTAGCAAGCTTTGATGGTGTTAGGTACCACCTGAAAAGCATTTTCTTAAAATTCTCTTTTATGGTGTAGCAAGCGGTGAACCTAATATCTAGACCCCAGAGCCTTTCCCACTGTTCCAAATATTTAAAAGGTGCAGCGTTTCCCTGCTAGCTGCAGAAGCAGCCCTGAAGTCTTGAGCGATGCAAAAGGAGCAGGCGGAGAAAGGGGAAAGAGGAAGGTAGCAACGTCCACTGCAACAATAGGTACCTGGAAGTATTGGACCCACTCGCTGTGGCAGTAGGGGAAGTGGCCCTCCAGGGCCGGGGTCAGCTGGCTGCTGTCGACGTGCCGCCCCAGGGCCTTCAGGGAGCTCAGCACCTCCATCTGCAGGGGCGACACCACAGCGTCAATATTTCTTTATAAAATGAGCCCAGTTTAACAGACCAAGTCAGCTAACACAAATTTCAAAACAGCAAAGTATATAAAATATACATTTTCAAAAGACTGAGCAGAATTATCAGCCAGAGTTGTTTTAAAAAGGATGGAAGAATGAGGAAATCCCAACGAAAGAACAGCGGCAAGAAAAATGGATGAGTTAAGATCCAGAACTGGCTAAACTGACATACAAACTGCGGAACAAGGACAACTGGGACTTTAAGGAAGAATGAGAGCTTTTTGCAAATTATCTAACAAGACAACAAAATGAACTGGACTCCTTGGCAGGTTTTGAATAAACATACACAAACTTATTGCTTGATAATATGATAGATAGATAGATAATGTAAGGATATGTACAATTTTATAACATGCAGAGAATAATATGTGCTGAGAAATCAGAGAGAGGAGCTGAGGGAAGTCTGGGGGGAGGGTTTGATGGAGGGTGGGGGGAAAGGGGGGAATAATGAATATGATATGTTTTGAAATTATGTTATGCTGAAATTGATAATAAAAATATTTTAAAAAATAAAAACAACAACAACATCAAATATTTTCAGGCACAATAGTAAAAGGCCCAGAAGTATAAAAATTGGAGGAGGAGAGGGCTGGTGTAAAATCAAGATTTTCAGTGTTTATACTCGGCTCATTTCCCCCTGTCGCCGGAAAACCCCCCCCCCAACTCACTGACACGTGTTACACAAGCACCACACTCACACACACATACATTCCCCCTTCCTGACCCTGGAGATGTCCCTTTTAGAGGGACATCCCTTAAAGCCTTCCGTAAATAAGGAAGCGCTGGCTTGACAGCTTCCCGCTATGGCGCTCCGCATCGCCCTATTTTTATTGAGAGTAGACCGGCCGACCGAACTCTGCTGTCAATCGGCGCCCGCCTCAGCCAATCAACATTACCGAACAGCGCCCCTTGCGGCGGCCACGCGGGTACTGCAGGCTACTGCCGCTCTCCCCCTTACCTTTGACAGCTCTCAATACAAGGTTTCCGAGTTCAATTGACCGTGACTGATTTAATCAAAATGTAGCAAGCCGCTTCCTGAAAGCGAAAGTGCTTTGAACTTCAAAGACAATATTCTTCATAAATTCACTAAAAATCAGCCGTACTTCGGATTTTCACCGGACCACTTTTATTCTGCTGGATATTACAAAGACTATCAAAGGGGGGTGGTCCGAAATCAAGCGGCCATAATCCCTTAACCGAGCAGTCACGTACTCTGTGTTCCTTCCTACTAGACGTAACCACCTTGATAGCCATCAGTGATCGGCTCAGACAGGAGGCTATCAAAGACACAATGAACTGCATATCTTGGTGTATTCCGCGCAGACATACACAAAAGACTGTGATCGGACTCTCCTCAGGGGGCAGGAAACTTTGCCCTCTTCCTTTGTTTTCGTATATGACTCATGCGGGGAGGGGGAAGGGGGCTCCGGCCAGGTGTCAGGACACTCGGGTTACCTGCGCAGCCCCTCCCCAACCCCTCCTATTTTTAATATAATCGTGATGTAAATGTGATGTAATTCTGAGGGTGTAGCTTAGGGGATTAGCAACTAATAAAAGTTAGGGTCTCCCTTTGTTCGGGGCTTCCATTTTGCTTCACCTTGTGGGCGGTGGGAGTCCTGTCGCGACAGTCTTTCTAAATAAAGACCGAGCCTACTGGCTGCTGTTTTGCTCTGACTTGCTCTGGTCGGTGTCTTCATTTGCCCAAGAGGACCCTTGAATTTCCGTTAACAGTTGGCGACCGCGACTCAGGGACACTTGGTTCTCCTGTAAAGGTGAGAGGGGAGATAGAGGGGATCGGGCGCCACCGGGCTACCTTAGCCTGAGGATCCTTTTCTTCCTCTCCCTGCCTCCTCTTTGCGGGCGGTAATCAACCGTCACCAGAAGCCCAACCAGAGAGAGCAAAGGCGAGGTAAAGCCGGCTAAGGAAAGATCCCGGGATCTACGGGGGACATCAACGGACGTGAGTATGGTTCCGAAGAAGATACATTGGGAGGGGGGTGGAAAATAACGTCTCCACAACAGCCAGATCTTTCTTCTTGTTTCCAACGTTGCATCTGCAAAATCTCGAACCTCCTTTCCCTTTTTCTCCCCCGTTTTCCCTTTCGGAAGTATGGCCAGGAAAACGTGGTGCTTATTGTTTCTCTGACGTCCTTTCTCGGAGTCGGCCAAAGGCGTCCCCTATAAATCTCTCCTTTTCTCCCCCGTTTTCCCTTTCGGAAGTGTGGCCAGGAAAGCGTGGTGTCTATTATTTCTCTGACGTCCCTTTCGGAGTCGTCCAGGGGTGTCCTTACAAATCTCTCTCTACCTTATCTGCCTGTGCAAATGAAGCCGCCCCTCCTGCCCGGCGACCTTTGTTAGGGATGACCCGGGTACGTGAGAACGCAAGGTCATTTGCTTCCTTTCAAACCTTTGTTTTCTCGGAGCCCGATCTGGCACTGCACTGTGCAGGCGTTCAGTAGGGAAGCCGAATTTAGTCTAAAGGCTAGGCAGGGGGCTGTTGTGGAGGAAAGAGGGGAGGTTCACAATTGGGGCCCCACACTAGGATTAGCTTTGAAACAATACTGTGGTTTAGGTTTCCGGGCAGCGACCCGTGGTTTAGGTTTCCGGGCAGCGACCCGTGGTTTAGGTTTCCGGGCAGCGACCCGTGGTTTAGGTTTCCGGGCAGCGACCCGTGGTTTAGGTTTCCGGGCAGCGACCCGTGGTTTAGGTTTCCGGGCAGCGACCCGTGGTTTAGGTTTCCGGGCAGAGACCCGTGGTTTAGGTTTCCGGGCAGCGACCCGTGGTTTAGGTTTCCGGGCAGAGACCCGTGGTTTAGGTTTCCGGGCAGCGACCCGTGGTTTAGGTTTCCGGGCAGAGACCCGTGGTTCAGACTTCCGTTCAGATTCGAGGTTTTAGGCAAATATTTCGCGGTTCAGAAATAAGTAGAGATTCCACTAAGACTAGGACATTCCTAAATACTGAAAAGATCTTTTTTTCCTCCTTTCTCTTCCCAAACCCTCTTCCCTCTTCCCTTGTGTGTGTACGTTCATCCTTTTCCGTCTTTAGTTTTCTTCGCTAGCGAAACAACAACCTGATAGAAATAAAAGATGGGATCCCAATCTTCCAAACACTCAGACTGGACTCCTCCCGGCGACAAGGCTTCCGCGGAGCCTTTCCGCCACAGGGAGGACTCTGATACCCCTCTTCAGTTCGTCCTCTTAAACTGGAAGGAACTGAAAGGGAGGAAGGGGCTCTCAAAGTCCAAGCTGAAGGACCTTTGTAACACCTCGTGGGTTGCCTTTACCCACCACCTAGAGCCAGCTTCTAGATGGCCATCTCACGGCTCCTTTAATCTTCAAAAAATGCAAGCACTTAAAACTTACCTGGCTGATGAGAGGCCCCGACAACTATACTACCTCAACGCCTTTGCCGAAGCCCGCGAATTATTTCAACGGCAGCAAGCCCAAATCGTCCGCCAAATGGCTGTTTTAAAAACAACTGGACCCCCCCCGTACGATGAGATTAGGGCTCAGGAGGAACAATTGGATCGAACCCTCGTCCCCTTCTACTACCCCGAACCCGAAGCACCCCGACAGCCAGGGCCTGGTGCGGGAGTCAGAGCGGGAGCCGGAGGGGGAGGCACAGGACCAAGGGAGAATGTAACGAACCCACCAGCCACAGCCACTGCCCCTCTCCAAAGCGCCCCTAACACACTGCCGCCCGATCCTTCCTCAAGCGCATCGAACTCGGCAGAGAACCAGGCTGACTTGGACCTTGGGCCTTTACTCAGTGGGCAGCTCCTAACTGAAGGAAGAGAGGGACCCGTTTCCAGTAGAACCAGAAACAGGGACAATCTGCTGAACGGAGAAATAGAAGGTGCCTTTCCACTGCGTGCATTACCTATACCTCCCGTCAGAGCAGGCGACCCTCCCCGCATGGTCTTTACTCACCAACCTTTCCTTACCTCTGACCTAATGAACTGGTCCGATAAGATGCCCTCTCTACGGGACGACCCAGACAAATGCCACCGCCAAGTGGCTACCATCTTCTCCACTCACAACCCCACGTGGGCGGATGTGCACATGTTGTTGGGAGCCCTTTTCAATGAGGCAGAGAAAAGGGAGATCTTAGCAAAGGCGGGAGAAGCCCTCGGCCGGGAAGGATACCAGCCAAACTGTCCGGCCTCAATGACCCCACTGACCACTCAGACGTTACTTAACGACCCTGACTGGAACTATAACACTACCGATGGCCAATGGGGTCTAAAAATCTTCAAGAAGGCCATCCTAGATGGCATAAAAGCTGCAGGACAGCGAACTGTAAACTGGACCAAAGTCCAAGCGGTCCTTCAAGGACCTGATGAACATCCCTCTGACTACTATTCACGGCTAGTCTCCGCTATTAAGACCTGGGGTGGAATAGACCCGGAGAGCCCACAGCACGAAGTGATAGTTAAAGGGTTTTTCAAAGATCAAGCCACCGCCGACATCCGAAAGGCGTTAAATTCACATCTCGGATACGATGGAAAAACCATAAACGAAATCCTTTCCATCGCAAAATCCGTTTTTAACTCAAGGGATGAGAGGAAGAAGAAAGACCAAAAACCCGACCATCCCCGAGTATTAGCTTATGCGGCCGCGGTTCCCACCTTCAAAGAAAAGTTTAAATCAGGCGGACCGGAATTACAGGATGAACGCGTCTGTTTCAACTGTGAGGAAGTCGGCCACATAAAAAGATACTGTCCTCTTCTGCCCAGGCGGTCTGAATATAAAAATTCTAAACCATACAGGCCAGAATACAGAGAAGGTACATATCCTAGGAATAGGGAACCTGCCTCTTCCTACGATGCGAACCGAACCCCAGCCCAAATGCAGCCCCGTGCGGGACCTCCGCAACCGCGGCCCCGAAACCTACCCTACGGCGCCACCAACCCCTTTAACCAAGGGAACCATCCTACAAACCCGACCCACGAAATGGTAATGGAAGAATA